AATTAATATTAATCGAAGGTTAGGATTTTGTTACGTCATTCGGTGCACGAATTCGATGCGTATCCTTCGATAACTGTATTATTTTCCGGTTCTAAAGAATAATGTATTTTACACAAGTCAATGCCTTAATTTTAATTAATTAGCAGTACAAATTTAAATAAAAAATTAATTATAATATTAATCACTGAGATACGGATTGCTTGAACAAATACAAAGATTTAATTAATTAATTACCTTTAAAATATAAAAAAAACTAGACACGTTGTCAAAGCGAGAGTGTGTACTTATCGTTTTTCCAACCAAACTTGATGACTTTGATTAACGCTATTTAAATTATTTAATTAAAGCTTCTGGTTTAGGCAACCGTTAATCACAGACAGTTTTGAGAAAACAATAAGAGCGTGGGAAAAAAATGGGAGGAGGATATGATTTTTAATATTTTGAAACTCGACTGAGACCACCAGAATTCTAATATCCAAAGGTTGATGTTCCAGAACTGGAAAAAAACCGAAGCCATGTCTCCACTATCTTAGTTTATGTCGTTGTTAGAGAACAGAAATAGCTGTTTACTATCTTAGTTTCTACAGAGCTTTTTCAGCACAGTTTCTTAATTTTCATCTATAATTTCTTTTGTTTTTCTTTCTTATAATTTGAATCATTTCAATAGACAGAGGAAGTTCATTATTTTTCATATAGGGTTTATAGATATTTATCTATCTTTGGGTAACTCAAGTCATATGACGAATACTAGAATGGGTGGTTAAAGTGCACGAACTCAGGTTCGAATCTACTTGACTCTTAGGATTTAAGTAAGTGATAACGACGGTTGAAGGCAAATCGTGTTAATGTTTTACCAGTAATATTCTGCTTAAATCATGGCGGTGGAATGCAACAGATCTCAACTGATATAATTGGTAATGTGTTAATGTTATATTAATAACATGATTTTACGAAGTTATGTTGTAGTTATTTTGTACTATTAATGTAGTTGATATATCGATAGTCACATTAACTGAGATTCTAATTTTATATATATGAAGAATTATTCTAAAGTTTTTGACTAGTTATTTGCGAATATTGAATTGAATGTGAGTCAATAATAGTGATTGTGTATATCTCAATTTTGGAAGGATAAGATTTGAGCATGTTGTTTATGGTAATGATATTAAGAAACTTACACAAGCATTGTCCCACTAACAATAACAAATGAGGCATAAACATTATGCCATGTCAATTTATATTTAATTTCAATCACTCATTTTATTATATATATCAAAGTGAAAAGCACTTAGCATAAAGTTGGAAATTATTCTATATGCTGCCTTCAATTTTACCTAAAACAATCGTAAAGTTAAAGATAATATTATCCATCTAACCATACATTAATTAATTGCTTCTTATAATAAGGAATATAAGTATTGCTTTTTATATAAATTATTCAAAAAAATTAACAATATATATATTGTTGATTATCAGGGGTGTCTATATCCGTTTACACGTACCTCAATTAATCCTCTGAGACCCTAAAACTATTGACCGGGTACGAGCTCCAGTGGTCACCTTTATTAGCAAGCATGGGGATTCGAATTTGAGAGACTATATTAAATCCTCCATTGCTTTTTTACCATCAGACCACCCAGTGGTGATTATATTATTTTATATTTTTTTCATATCAATTATTATTTTTTCTTTTTATAATCTAGGACTCCCTTATCTCATTCATTTTACACGGTTGAATTATAAACTGGAGAGGAACGATTAGCTTTAATCATATTAATACCCACCAGAAATTAGTCGAATAAATTAGACTTGTGATTTGCGTATAAACTCTTAATCTTTATAAAATCTATCTATTTTTAGGGTTTGGATTTGATCTCAATTGATGGACACGGGGCACAACTTTACTAGTGGTGGACAAACTATTCCCATGTTTTGAAATCCACAATGATTGTGACTTTATAACCCCACACGATGTGGAAATGAATGATCTTTTTTTTTTTGTTTCTTTTATAAGTTTTAAATTCTCTCTTAAATAACAACAAATTTGGTAAATGGGTTCATTCTATGTTACTCTATTCTTATTAATAATAAGAAATAAGTTTATATAAATAATTGTAAAACAAAATAATCAAGCATAAATTAATAATGTGTTAATTATGTATATAATTTATATTTTAAATATTAGTTGTATACAGTCTGAATTCTTTCTTTGATGAGAAGAATTTGCTGAAAGACAAAATTTTGTAATTTTTGGATATAAGAAATTTGGTCGGAATTTATCTTTTAGAGATTTTCTATAAGAGAAATTGCGGTCTAGATTAAAAAACTATAGTCAAAGACTTTTCATTTTGTATATTATTTACATATGTATAGAATATGGTACATTAATATAAGAATTATTTGCAATGTCCATTTAAAATGTAATTCTAAAGGGAGCTGCAAATGGGTAGAACCCACAATTTTAGGTTCGATTTTTAGTTAGACTCAAAGGTTACTAAATATCTTTACCCATGATTTATCTAAAGAACCATGAAGATGGGTTATTACGGAATAGCTTTCCTTAAGGAATAGGCGAGGTGTGGTTTGGACAACTAGTTATTAGAAAACAAAAAAATTTAAGCAAGTACCAAACCNTAGTTATTTTGTACTATTAATGTAGTTGACATATCGATAGTCACATTAACCGAGATTCTAATTTTATATATATGAAGAATTATTCTAAAGTTTTTGACTAGTTATTTGTGAATATTGAATTGAATGTGAGTCAATAATAGTGATTGTGTATATCTCAATTTTGAAAGGATAAGATTTGAGCATGTTGTTTATGGTAACGATATTAAGAAACTTGCACAAGCATTGTCCCACTAACAATAACAAATGAGGCATAAACATTATGCCATGTCAATTTATATTTAATTTCAATCACTCTTTTTAATCTATATATATGTATCAAAGTGAAAAAGCACTTAGCATAAAGTTGGAAATTATTCTATATGCTGCCTTCAATTTTACCCAAAACAATCATAAAGTTAAAGATAATATTATCCATCTAACCATACATTAATTAATTGCTTCTTAGAATAACGAATATAACTATTGCTTTTTATATAAATTATTCAAAAAAATTAACAATATATATATTGTTGATGACCAGGGGTATCCATATCAGTTTACACGTACCTCAACTAATCCTCTGAGACCTTAAAACTATTAACCGGGTACGAGCTCCAGTGGTCACCCTTACTAGCAACCGTGAGGACTCGAATTTGAGAGATTATATTAGATTCCCCGTTGCTTTTTTACCATCAGACCACCCAGTGGTAGTTATATTATTTTATATTTTTTTCATATCAATTATAATTTTTTCTTTTTATAATCTAGGATTCCCTTATCTCATTCATTTTACAAGGTTAAATTCTAAACTGGAGAGGAATGATTACCTTTAATAATATTAATACCCACGAGAAATTAGTCGAATAAATTAGATTCGTGATTTGCCTATTAACTCTTAATCTTTATAAAATCTATCTATTTTTAGGGTTTGGATTTGATCTCAATTAATGGACACGTGGCACAATTTTACTAGTGGTGGACAAACTATTCCCATGTTTTGAAATCCACAGTGATTGTGACTTTATAACCTCACACGATGTGGAAATGAATGATCTTTTTTTTTTTGTTTCTTTTATAAGTTTTAAATTCTCTCTTAAATAACAACAAATTTGGTAAATGGGTTCATTCTATGTTACTCTATTCTTATTAATAATAAGAAATAAGTTTATATAAATAATTGTAAAACAAAATAATCAAGCATAAATTAATAATGTGTTGATTATGTATATAATTTATATTTTAAATATTAGTTGTATACAGTCTGAATTCTTTCTTTGATGACAAGAATTTGCTGAAAGACAAAATTTTGTAATTTTTGGATATGAGAAATTTGGTACGAATTTATCTTTTAGAGATTTTCTATAAGAGAAATCGCGGTCTAGATTAAAAAACTATACTCAAAGAATTTTCATTTTGTATATTATTTACATATGTATAGAATATGGTACATTAATATAAGAATTATTTGCAATGTCCATTTAAAATGTAATTCTAAAGGGAGCTGCAAATGGGTAGAACCCACAATTTTAGGTACAATATTCTATTGGACTCAAAGGTTACTAAATACCTTCGCCTATGATTCATCTAAAGAACCATGAAGATGGGTTATTACGGAATAGCTTTCCTTAAGGAATAGGCGAGGTGTGGTTTGGACAACTAGTTATTAGAAAACAAAAAAATTTAAGCAAGTACCAAACCAGCACATTGGGGGTAAAAAAGAAATATGGAAATTTCAAGGTCTAAAATTATAAAACATTTTGTAGGACCAGGCAAAAACGAACTATACAATAATATCACTATGTGTGGCTAAAAAATAATATAGATTCCCACGTGTAGCATGAATAAAATTAACATATTCCACGTGAAACATGATCAAACTTATTATATTCCCAATGACAACTCAAAAATTAAAGATGATGAACCACACTTTCATATAAAATAATATATATATATATTTTTTTTATATAAACTATGAAACCACCAAAAAATATAAAGTCCACACATACGCTACCTAGCCGCCTAGCCCCATTACATGTTACTTTATCAAATTATTTTAAAATATAAATAAAATTTACTAAAATTAAAAATTATATCAATTCATTATACCATATGGTAGTAACACATTTTTGTCACATGTTAAGAAATTTAAAATTATATATAATTTGATAGGGTAATATTACTTGCAATGACATAATAAATAACAATAACACTTATTTATAAACCCCTTTTATACAGACTAAATGTTTTAATATAATTATTAATTTCTTTAAAGGTGAACGTGGGTATAATAGTCATTTCCCAAAATAAATAAAAATATATAATGAGAATAATAAATAGGATATGGAAAAAAAGAAAAATGAAAATGGGAAGCTCTATAAATATGGGAAATTATGCGCCATTTCCGTGTAAACGAAAAAGCTAAAGCCTGCAAAAAGAGGAAAGACTCGTCGAGTCGACCCACCCAGACTTTGTTCATTTTCTCATTTCTGTTTCCCGCTCACTTTTCTTCTACTTCCTTTCCTTTTCTTTGCTTTTTATATACTCACAGTGTCTCTTCCTATCATTCTCACTGCCATTAACGCCAGGCAAGTCTCACTTCTGTCTCTGTAATCTCGATTCTTCACTCTTTATTTTTTCTTTATTTTTATTGACCGTCACGCCGTCTCCGCTCTCGTTTTTTCGAGTTTGATCGCTGATTATTGTTTGTAATGAATGTGGTGTTGTTTCTTTATATTACTTGCAGTTTTTAATTTTTATTAAATTTTGGTTAGTTATTGTAAACCCTAGCTGGCTGTTTGGTTTCCAAGAAAATTTTGTGAGAGAAGAAAAATTTGAAGTTTCCTGTTTTGGTGTAAAAGAGAATATTATTTTGATTTGATTGTTTCATTTGTGTTTTAATGGACTGGTTTTCTTAATTTTATGAACTTTCTCGGCAGCCAAACGGAATTTTATAATTAATCTTTTTTTGAGTTGACGTAACCCAGTTGAATTTGGCTTTTGTGGATATATATTTTTATGATTTGTTTTTGCAGAAGTCTTACAGAGGGTTTTTCTGACTTTGGTTATTTCCGGTTTTTTTTCTTCTTCTTCTTAAGCAATAAAATATATTAAATTCGTGTGTTGAGAAAAGGAACCTGAGGTTTTGTTAAATTTGGGGTTAAATAAAGTAAAAATTTTGGTTATATGAATAGGGCCTGAAGAAAGCTACGAATAAATTCTCTGACTAAGGTAATTCGTTCAATTTTGAAATGGGGATTCTCATTTTCTTTCCTGTGGACAGTGGGGCATGTGTTTGTTTTGGTTGATTCTGTGATAAGGATTCTTGTTATTGTTAGATAAATTAATGACAGCTTTAGTTTTGATTTTGGTCGTCATTATTGTTGTTGAAGATTATTATTTATTTCATTAATCAATTAATGATCGTTGTTAATATATTATTTGATCTTTTTTCGTTTAAACCTCGAGTGAGGATCATAATGAATATCCTATTTGATTTGCTTTTCTTGAATTTTTTGGTTATAGTAGCGTCTAAGCTTTTATTTAAAAACTAATCCTTATGGATTTATCTTAAAATATAGAGACTGGAGCCGGATAAGAAAAAGATAATCTATGGAGGGCGACGCAGGAAAAGATTTGGGATGCCAGAAGACTATGGATGGGAAGGCGAGTAATAGGAATGGTTCTGCGAAGAAAATCCCTTCTTGTTGCTTGAAAGCTAAGGCGTCAGCGCCTGAGCTTGAGGCCAAATGCCACTCCACTGTTGTTTCTGGCTGGTTTACAGAATCTCAGTCTCTCCCTGGTCAGCATCTATAGTTTTATCCAATGCAAATTTTTTGTTTGATTTCCGTAGTAAATCATATAAGTTCATTGGTTGCTCTAAACAACCTGATATCATTGACTGTTATCTTTATCTTCTTTACTTCAGATAAAGCTGGCAAAAAAGTTTTCTTCAACAACCCAATGTGGCCTGGTAGGTATAACCTTCATATGTTGATATTATTGTCAATCATCTAATCCCTTCTGTCTTATAACTGTATGGATATAAAATCATTTTTCTACTGCATTCAGGTTCGTAACACATTTTTAAGTAATGTTAAACTCTTATGTTTTTTTAACCCTTTTCTACTCTGTAAATATGATAAACGTGCCACATCAGGGAGAACCAATGGCATATTGAAACCCTTTCACTACAAGGAATAAGAAATTTAGGCCTCATGTTTGTCTTTTGATAGTTCATAATGCTTGTGTTGTTATTTGAAACTACATCGAACAATTGTAGTAGAGCTTGTCTATTTTTCTCACCTAACAAGGAAATTGCTTGTGATATATTTCTCAAAGTGGAAAAGCATTGTTATGTTTATATTTATATTTGTTTTGTACACTTGTTATTGCACAATACCCCTGGCTCATGTTGTACATTCTCTTTTTTAGGAGAAGCACATTCTTTGGAAGTGAAAAATATTTTATTCAAGGGAAAATCAGAATACCAAGAGGTCTTGGTTTTTCAGGTTTGGAGCTGTCTAACTTTCAGTTGTCAACATTGCCGTTCTACTTTTTCCCCCTCAGTTTATTTGTTTATTTGTCTCCATGTGTGTCTATGTCTATATTATAATACAGTATTTGGTTGGTTTGAAATTCTTTATCTGCAGTCATCAACATATGGGAAGGTGCTTGTTCTTGATGGAATTATTCAGCTGACTGAGAAAGATGAATGTGCCTACCAGGAGATGATAGCTCATCTTCCCCTTTGTTCGCTTCCATCTCCAAAAACTGTAATTTCCAAATTTTTTATTAATCTGTCTTTTATTTTTGGCTCTCAATAACTTTTGTCTTGTGTGGTTGCAGCTCAATTTGATTTTTGTTTTATTTTGTGCCTTGTTTCCCAATACTGCTTGTACTCTCATTTACTTCTTTAAGCTTTTTAAAATAATGGTTAATAAGCTTAATTACATGATTAATTTTCTACATTTAACTCTTTCTCTGTTAGAGAATTCAAAAAATTTAATAAATCTAGAGCAAAATTGATCTCATTATGATGACCAATTGAAATCTTGTACCCAATTAATTAGTGTAAATGTTAATTTACATTTGGACCTGCCTTATGGAACTTTAGGAGGAAATGTAGAAAGAGAAGGAAGAATGAGAGTCTGTTAGGGAAACTGAATGAATAGTTACCTGAGTTCTATCTCTGAGACTCTTGATCCACATGTGAAATTTTAGTGCTGAAGCCATACTGTTCGGTAAAGTATTTGTCATCTTGAGTACTTTCATTGATGGTTTAGGTGCTATTTTTAGTTGTCTTCCCTTCTTCCTCACAAGATGTGAGATGATGATGCATTGCAAGAAATAAGGGGGTGGTGGAAGTTCCTTTTGGTTTAACCTTTTGCTCTACGAAGATGTAATATGGACTGTGCACTGTGATTTTCCTAATATTGTGTTCTATAGATTCCATCTCTTTCTTTCTTTTGTTCTTTTTTAAGCTTTGGAACATTATGTATCTCTCAACAACCAAGTATAATGTTTTATTATCACCAAAGGTTGAGAATGGTGGAAGACTGGTGATGGTGGATGTGGCTTTACGTAGAAGTGGGCAACTTTGTGGTCCGCTCTGAGTTAGGGGTGGTATTCTTGGTGTTATAAGTGCATTGGCAGCTGCTTAATGTTGTTGTAGCAGCATTTGGATACTGGTAACTCTTTGAGGATCTTGTTTAACATGATCCAATTAGTTGTGGTGTGAAAAGCCTGTTAGGAGCATACTGAAAGGGGCTTATGTGAGCTTTGATTGATCAGCCTGTACGAGGAAGATATAGAATTCCCTTTAAATAGACTCTCATAGTGGTGGACTTGGTAAGCTGCTATTGGCCAATCTTCCTTCTCCCGGGGAACTGAGTATAGTTAGTAAGTACCAGTGGTAAAGATTTGGAATAGTAACTTATAATGGGGAATGTTGGATCTGAGGTTTAGCATCATAGATAGCTATGTAGCCTGCAGTTATATTGTAGAAGATTAAGCCTGTTAGATTGCTTGTCTTCAGCTTAAATATATTTATATTGATGTCAACAATGGCTGGTATTCTTGCATTTTCTGAACTACGTCAAATGGAAGATTTTATATAGCATGTATAGGGAAGGTAGAATGGAACGGTTGAGTGTATTTTTCTACTCTAATAAAGTTGCAATACAAACCTGCATGTTTAGTTGATACTTTTGCAATGCAAGATGCAGGTTCTAGTTGTTGGTGGTGGTGATGGTGGTGTTCTTAGGGAGATTTCTCGTCACAATTCTGTAGAGCTTATTGATATATGTGAGATAGATCAGATGGTTATAGATGTAAGTCTTGAATTAATTTGCCTTTTTCTTGTAATTGACTGTTGTAAAGATTATGCTAAAATTTTATTGTAATAATTTTCTTTTATTCCAGGTTTCTAAGAAGTTTTTTCCAGAGTTGGCTGTTGGATTTGAGGACCCTCGTGTCCAAGTGCATGTTGGTGATGGTATGTGAACAATACTGTTTTCCTATATCTATATTTCTAAAATTTTTGCTTGTAAATTATTGTTAAATTGGTTGGAGCACTTAGCTAGTTGTTGATCTCACTTCCATTGTCTTGACAGCTGTTGAATTTCTCCGGAATGCACCTCCAGGAAAATATGATGCAATTATTGTTGATTCGTCAGACCCTGTAGGTATGATTGTTTTATCTCTGCATCACCGTGGTTTACTTATGCTCCAGAAGGTTTATGTGCCATTTACTAAAGTCTAGTGGTTGGCAATTTATTCCAACTGTGATAACAAATGGTATTTTAAATTTTACTTGCCTGAAATATGCTGTTGGGTAGGTTTCATTTAGTATTAACATGATACAGGGGCAACTCTTTGTTCCACATAATATTAATCTAGGATTATTACTTATTGTCATCTCACTTTTCCTTCTTGTTTTAGGTCCTGCTCAAGAGCTTGTAGAGAAGCCATTTTTTGAGACAATTGCTAGAGCATTAAGACCTGGTGGTGTCCTCTGCAATATGGCAGAAAGTATGTGGCTCCATACACACCTAATTGAAGATATGATCTCTATCTGCCGGGAAACGTTCAAGGGTTCTGTCCATTATGCTTGGGCGAGTGTTCCAACTTACCCAAGGTAGTGGTTGACTCCATTCTTCTAATTGTGCTCGTTCCTCTCAATCTAGTAATCTTTTTCTTTGATGAGTTTGAGGACTTTTGAAGCCTACTCATCAAGATTAGTATAACTCCTAATTATTGTGCAATGCAAACTTGTGGTTGAAGCCTTGAAATTTTTGTTAAATAATGCATGTTTTTTGTGGTAGAAGATTTGTGATTTATGCATAGTCTGAAATATTACTTTCCTGAGGCTTTTCTTGTTACTTGATATGCAGTGGTGTGATTGGGTTTCTAGTATGCTCAACAGAGGGTCCTCCTGTTGATTTCGTCAAGCCCATCAATCCCATCGAAAAGCTAGAAGGAGCTCCCAAGCATAAAAGAGAACTTAGGTTCTATAACTCAGAGGTAAAGTTTCCTCATTTCAACTTTAGCTTTAGTAGATTTATTGGTTGTGACTTACCCATATGCTTAGATAAGCTTGCTTAAATTTAGTAAGTGCATTAATCTTGATGTGATATATACTCATATTATTAGTAATTTGACTGCCTGCTTCTATCCATTCCTCTTAATACCAAATTTATGAATCCTCTGTGCTTTCTTCTTGTTGGATATGTAAAAGTATACTGAAATCTCGAGCCTCCTGTTTTTGTTTGGGGATCAGTTGAGCTATATGTGCATGTTTGTTTCAAACATTGAAATCTGACAACCTCAACTCATCATGCTCTGCTATGATTAAACCCTTTCATTATAGCAAAATAATGTTTCTGCCATTTGATGCCAGATTCATTCTGCTGCGTTTGCTTTGCCGTCATTTCTGAGAAGGGAGGTGAACTTACTTCGTGATCCCCCAACTGCAATACAACAAATCTGCATTTCTTAAACAACGTATAGTTGTCCTCTGTTGATTTATTCTGATAAGTGCGATTAATTTAGTAGTGTTGGAGATAGTCTAATAGGGCGATTACTACATTTGTAATGAAAATGAAGAAATATGCCATAACCACTGCCGTTTGAGGATTTAGTGAGAGGATTTTATTCTAAGTATGTGTCATCATGGTCTCGTCCGATAACTAATAGATGGCCGATTATAATATACTAGTTTGTGTTGGTCATTTTATTTTGTGGATGTTAAATGTTACCATTTGTCGATATTTCCCACTTTATGATTTTCAACCGATATTTAAGAATAATAAAGAGAGTATTGTTGCATCATTTCTACCGTGGCTGGCATCGGATGAAGAAAAAATAGTGACTTCTGTTACTTCTCACACATGTTAGCTACAAAATAAAACAAACAAGTTTTCCCAGACATTGCTGCTTGGTTGAAGGTTTTGAACAGAACTGCCAAAGAGTTAAATCCGACTGTAATATAGCAGACGTTAACTATAGAAATGCAAGATCCATGTGTGTGAAAGAAATAGATTATCTGCATATAAAACATTTCCATACATGTGTTAAATAACATCACTGCCATCATATAGAGATTTAGAATACATGAAATAAAGATTTTAAATTTTGCCATCCCAAAATAAGACATGAAATTTAACTGTTAAGCTCCCTGAAACACTAACCAGAATTTTCTATTCTAACTTGTATCAGAGAAATTTGTTCCATCAACAATGGTCAGGAGGATTCTATAATAACGAGTACCAATCATTTAACTAGGATATGACATCCATTGCATTTTATCTTCTCACTTGTTTCTCTCTCTCTAATTGAATTTGAATGACCAATTTTCAAATTTCCATTCTCCCAACAAAATCATCTGATCTGTAATTAAAAATGGAAATAGGTGATCATCTCATAAATTGGCTCTCCTTCGCAAAGGATGCTGGCAATTTAAGAGACAAGAGAACGCATTCTCTCAAGTAGCTCCAAGCACAGCTCACGCTTCATGTTCTTTCAAAGCTGTTGGGAAGGTTATGGAGCAAGTTTTCTACATCAATATCTGTTATGCCTAAAGACTGCAGGGCTGACGTAAGGTCCAGTCAGCATGCAAAAGTCAGAACATGGGTACACCCGCAGCCGAGTCACGTGAGGAAAGGAGCAGCATGCTACTGTCAGAATAGTGGGTGCGTGCCAGGTCAGCTAGAAGTTGTGGTGATCCCACGTGTCCAATCCCTGCTCCAAATCGCGTAAATCACTCTATAAGGTGGGCAATGTGACATAAAGAAGGATTTGCACGGATAATCTCACCAACTCACAGATTCAGTAATGATAACCTTAATCCATCCCATTATAAATTGGGAGCTCCTTTCTCATTTAAGGGATTAGCTACTCTCTCTCAAGAATATATATAGCATTCTCTCCCTTGTACTGTCATTTGTAAGTTAGTCTGCTAAAGCGACCTGACCCCTATCATTAATACAAACATTAGTGGACGTAGGACTTGCTTCCTTAGCATCCGAACCACTTTAAAAGCTGTTCCATTGCATTTATTCTCATTTTTCTTGCATTCACGTGTGTCTTCTGGGCCAGCTCAGCGTTTCACACGTGCGTTTCGTTGGTGTCAAAATCACGCATCAATAGTTTGGCGCTAGAAGGAGGGCCTGATTTAGAGTTCATCCTTTATCAGGAGAATCTCTAACTTACTGGTCCTACAACAACAAATGGCTCGCTAACCTGAACCTGAGTGAACCAACCAGGGTGCTAAGGGGATAGCCCAAGTCCAGGAGGACACCTCTTCCGAAATACCTTCGGTTCCGCAACATGCCGCAGGGGATATCCCATCAAGCTCACAACTTGACCCTGTCATTAGAAACTACTTGGAGAGGTTCGACAATACTCTCCAGACGGTCAACCGAAGGTTGGACCATTTGGACCAAGGCGTGATAACCAAATCAATTGGGGCGGTGCAACCGCTAAAAACGCCTGCAGGTCGCGCGAAAGCGCTGCGAAGGGAGATAGCCCGTGCTGCGAGCACTGCAGCGTGTCGACGAAAGGGTAAGCAAGTGGCAAAAAAGGGGCCTACGGGCTCCAAAGGGCCAGCGAATGCCAACCGCGTCCTGAGCAGAATACCAGTAGCGTTAAGACTTGGTGAAAGGACGCAGCCTGAGCTGTCCTATGCCATGTCGCAGGTACACCCCTATAAAAGTGCTGGGCGGGGCGATTCTTATCACCACCAGTAAAACAATTCCGATCGTCATCGTGCGGGAGGTTTCCACACTTCGCGGGGCGGTTCGTACCACCACGAAGGTTGTGAAAATACCCCGCACCATTCATCGTCATCACATGCCTCCAGCTAGCGTGTGTCGAGAGTCGTTGGGGTCGCCGACCGAGGCGAAGAGGAATCCGACCTCCGGACTTTGCTCAATCGTAATCACAAGGGTCGAAATCGCATGGGTGAAAGCAATCCCCAAGTGGTTCTATTGCCTCAGATTGAAGAATTGTAGTGAGCTCTAGACCGACTAAGAGCTCAGCAAAATGAGCAAGGGCAGGTCGCGTCTGCGTCCCCCTTCTCACCCCAAGTGCTAGCTGCTCCACTCCCATCAGTATTTAGAATGCCCGACATGCAGGCGTTTGATGAAAATTCTGATCCGCAGGATCATTTATATGAATTCAACGACCTGATGGAGCTCCATAAGGTCTCAGATTTAGCAAAATGTCGTTGTTTGGCAGTGACTTTAACCTCTCATGCCAAACGGTGGTTTAGGTTGCTCCCAGCGGGATCGATCAGTTCGTGGCCTTAGATGAGCGCGACGTTCCTAAGGCATTTCCAAGTAAATCGAAAGTTCTCGATGCCTTTGAGCTACCTCAGCAACATAAGGCAAGAGAGGGATGAATCCCTCCAATCGTACATTGATCAATTCCACAAAGAGCTTAACAAGGTAGCTCACACTCCCGAGAAGTCTGTTCGAACTCTCATCATAACGGGAGTTCGCCCACAGATTGACCTGTGGAAAGAGTTACAAGCTAAGGATGATGTTTCCCTCACTCATTTCTATAACTTTGAGGAGAAATACCTCCGTATTGAAAGTTCCGTAGCGGCGCTTTGCCTCCGTGACCACGGCGCTTTGGGTAGTGCGTCTGGTCGGGAGGACAGGAGAGTTGATCGCAGATGGGCTACTGACGACCAACGAAAAGGAAAGAAACCGCGCTATGAGCCCAAAAAATCTTATGCTCCTGTTCCTCGTCGCGATCGCAACAAAAATCAATATATGCCTTTGAATGCATCTGTATCGGCCATCCTTGATAAATCAGAAGAGGCCAGCCTACTCGGAGAGCTTGAGCCCATAAAGAATCCCCCGTCAGCCAGAAATAGTAAAAAGTACTATCGCTTTCATCGGGATAACGGGCATCACACCGATGAGTGCCGAGCTCTCAAACAGGCAATCGAAGAACTCATCAAGAAGGGGCATTTCAAGGAATATATTGATGAATCTACTCCCACGCAAGAGAAAAGTCAAGGGGAACAAGGAAAGAAGCGTCGTGATTGCAAAGGCATATGCAGTGTCAACATGATCTTTGGAGGGCCATACCTCACTAGGAACACGCGAGGTGCCAAGGAAAGATATGCTCGCGCGGCTCATCACGACCCTATTAGTGTGATGAGCACGACGCAGCGACCACAAAAGGTCTGCAGGGAGGAGGAAATTACCTTCTCCGAAAAGGATGCAGCCCATTTGCATCATCCACACGACGACGCTCTTGTGATCACGCCTCTCATTGGGCGCCATAATCCACAGAATGTTGGTGGATAATGGAAGTGCTATGAACATCCTGTTCCAGACAGCCTTCAAAAGAATGAACTTGGACGAGGCCGACTTGAAGCCCGCCTCGATCACTCTATGTGGTTTTACCGGGGACCACCTGATCCCCAAATGAACGATCTTACTTCCAGTCACGTTGGGTGACTATGACGAAATGACCAAGGTAACCGAATTCTTGGTAGTGGATTGCCCATCCGCTTTTAATGGTATCTTGGGGCGACTTCTGCTAAGAAACTTCAAGGCAGTCACTTCAATATATCATTTGAAGATGAAATTCCCCACCCTGACGGGGATAGGGGAAGTTAGCAGGTCCCAGCGCGAAGCTCGCGGTTGTTACATAAAAGCAGTAAAAATGGCGTGCAAAGGGAATGGTATCTCGCGTGGCATCCCCCGACAGGCTATGGCGATCAGCTGGATCGAGCCGTAGCCTAGTCCAGCCGAGGATAATATGGATCCTCGAATTCAGGAAAGATTTTCCAATGGGCCAGTTGAGGATTTGTCCGAAGTGTCGGTCGACCTGAACGAACCGAGCTGAGTGTTAAGGATTGGGAGCAATCTCAACCCCCAGCTCGCCTTCGAGCTGATCAACTTCTTCAAGGAAAATATTGATGTGTTCGCCTGGTCGCACGCAGATATGGTCAGGATCAGCCCATATATCATTTGCCATGCGTTGAACATCGACAACGAAGCCAAGCCAAGCCAGTTGGCTAAAAAAGAAGAGCGATGGATCCGGAGCAATATGCCGCCTTAAAGCTAGAGGTGGATAACCTCCTTCGAAACGGATCCATCCAGGAAGCACTCTACCTGACCTGGGTTGTCAACCCGGTTCTGGTAAAGAAGCCCAATGGCAAATGGCGAACCTGTGTCGACTTCACCGACCTCAACAAAGCATGCCCGAAAGATAGTTGTCCCTTGCCCAGAATAGACCAGCTCGGGGCATAAGCTGCTAAGTTTTATGGACGCGTACTCGGGATATAATCAAATTCTGATGTACGCGTCGGACGAAGAGCATACATCCTTTGTTACAGATTGAGGATTGTACTGTTACAGAGTTATGCCCTTCGGCCTCAAGAACGCTGGCGCTACCTACCAGCGGTTGGTTAACCGGATATTCTCCGAACAAATCGGTAAGTCAATGGAGGTCTATGTAGATGACATGCTGGTCAAATCCCATGTCGCTTCAGATCATATAGCGCATCTCGCTGAGATGTTTGATATCCTCTGACTATACAGAATGAAGCTAAACCCCCTTAAGTGCTCGTTCGGAGTATCCTCAGGGAAATTCCTAGGATACATGGTTAACCAACGAGGAATAGAGATCAACCCTGAGAAGATTCAAGCTCTCTTCGATATGGCAAGCCCGACTAGCAAAAAACAAGTCATGAGCCTTAATGGGCGAATAGTGGTGTTAAGTCATTTCATATCG